TACTTTTCCATTTTTAATGTTTTTTTATTTACCTGTTTCCATTCTTTTTTCTTAAATTAATAAATTACATTCTGTTATGATTATGTGGTTAGGTTAATCATATTCATGCGAATCACGTGCGCATAAATTAAAATGGCGCCAAACCACAAACCCACGCGGTGTCTGCAGCTGGATTTTGACTTCCATTTTGTTCTCTCCTCGCTTCAGTATGAATCCACCTTTGTGGTCCTTGACCCAAGCACAAAGGAATGATGTAAAAGCCAACTTGAGCGGTTCTCTGGTTTAAAAGATTATCGTGGCGATAGAAGAAGTTGAAAGAAGAAAAAGTCTGAAGAATTTTGCAGAAATTTGGAATTTTGGCCTATTCTCCAAAAAAGCTCCTGCTATGTTACAGTCCACTTTAAAGGTACCAGGAGAATCGCTTAGTGAAGGAGAGCTCATCTAAGCCATTTATAAGGCTGTACAACGTAAGATAAAAGAGTTGTGAGTGTTTGAAAATCATAAAAACGGCAGCCATCTTGAAAAACCAACCTCAATCCTACATAATTATAGGCTATCGCCTATATAATATCCAGTAACAGGTAAGACACACACTCACTGTATCATTGAATTATTTTACTATCATTAGATGGATACTGTGTTAATAGTACCAATTCAATCAATGCCTCATTTATTAAAGAGAAAGCACAAAGGATTCCTGTCAAAAGGCAATTCCTTATTCCAGGGATTGATTTCAAATGCAATGGATCAATTTTAAAATGGATTTTCGGAGGTAAATATATCAATCAGGAACCTCAGGGACATATCGAATTACAAATATGGCGTAAAATAGGCAATAATTACACTAAAATAGGATCAAGTTTAATTAATGCTAATACAATGATTGGTACTAATCTCTATATGAGTTTATTCCTCAGACTCCACTGCAATTCCAGGAAGGAGACATATTTGGCATTTATCAAAGTGATAGATTTCTCTATGACCAAAGGTATAATGGCCCAGAAAATTCACGCAGCAAAAAAAGCTTCAACTCTTCTCCAAAAACAATTAGTACAATAGAACTTGAAAATAATGGTAACGATTTCCCATTAGTCACTGTGGAAATAAGTGTAATGCCCACAATCCCATTAATCACTGTGGAAACAAGTGTAATGCCCACAATCCCATTAATCACTGTGGAAACAAGTGTAATGCCCACAAT